TTTTTAGCCTCCGGCTCACACACTTTTGTCTTAGCTCAGGAAGGATGGCTCTAGAGCGAAATAATTTATGCAGTAGCCAAATCGCTCACTCACAACTTTCATGCCAGTAACTCACAAAGTAGAATTTTTGCTCACAGGACTCCACAGCTTAGAGGGAGCATTAGTGGGGAGGCTCCAAACTGTGCAAGGAATGGAACCAGCAAGATGGGGTGGGGTTAGGAGGATAGAAGTGTGAGAGAGAGCGAGCAATGGGGTGGTGCTCTCTTTTTATACCCTAAAATGACTGGGAGCTGATGCTCCTTTAGTCACGTAGTCCCCATGCAGCATAACTACTGTTAATGGGCCAGGAAAAAGGGATTAATAGTTGGGCAATAGTGGTAGACTAATAGCTGCAGTGGCTCAAGTGGTTAAGACGCTGAACTGCAGGCTGTGGAAGGTCGGTAGTTCAGCAGTTCGAGACCCAAGTGTGCGGCATGACGGAGCGAGTTCCTGTCTCTAGTTCCAGCTCCTGACAACCTAGCAGTTCAAAAGCAAGAAATTGCAAGTAGATAAATAGGTACCGCTTCGGTGGGAAGGTAACAGCATTCTGTGCGCCTTGGCATTTAGTCATGCCGGCCACATGACCACGGAAACGTCTTCGGACAGCGCTGTCTCTTTGGCTTTGAAACGGAGATGAGCACCGCAAACCTAGAGTCGGACTCGACTGGCTTTCGAGCAAGGGAACCTTTACCTTTACCTTAATAGTGGGGAACCTTAATAGCAAGGGAACCTTTACCTTCCTCTTATGGGGGAAGGGGAGAGACAAGAGAGAGAAAAGAATAGTAGTGTCCCAACAACATTGCTGGTAGTTGCTGTTAAATCTGATGGTAAACAGCTGTGTTAGCTGGAAGACGTGACTACTCCCGAATCCTATCACGGAAGGAGTTCTTTTGTTGAGGCTGAAGTCGCCTACGTGCTTCACCTGGAGATGTCGATATGCAGAGGTGGGGGGAGGTGCCTGCACGATGGAGAAGAGAGCTTCTTATGGTGTCTGTGAAGGAATGTCCTGGTTCCCTTTGCAGAGCAAGGCTTCGCTTCAGTGAACTGCTGCTGGCTTCGTGTGTTTGCAGGGTCAGGGAGGATGGCTTGCCTTCTGGCATCGGGCTGCAGAGGTGCAGGAGCGAGGGACACCAGGTCCTCCATGGGTCCACATCTGGTTAGGCACGCTGCTTCAGGACAAGGTTTCCCTCGCCTAGGCACATGCCAGCAGTCCAGTACGGTGGCACAGTTTCATGGCTACAGTCCAGTCCAGTCCCCTGGCAGACTTATTTGCACAGTCCAGTTTTACAGCCATAGTCCATAACCTTCATAGATGCTGTATAAGGTGGCAAGATGGCAGCAGTTGCTAATATGTCTCCCAGTTTTTCGCCCTTCTCATTGTGTATACATTTGTTTGGCCTAGGTCTTCTCCTTTTTCTACCGTTCCATGCTCAGCTTTGGGCTGATGACCTTCTCGATGTGGCCTTTGGTCAGTCGGCTCTGGACCCAAGCTAAGGTATTTGCTGTCAGGAAGGTTCTAATGGTTTTGATGCAAGGAGGTGTCTTACCCATCTTATACCTACATGGGAATCTTCTTGCCGTTAATTCTTCCATGGACCTGTGGGTTGTCTGGATAGGGATGGTCGCGAACCTGCTCACGGACTAAAGTCGGTCACAATTTTATTTTATTTTTGCTAAACAATTTTTTTTATTTTCTTAGGAATTCAACATATAGAAATAAACCATTTCATCCTTTCCATTGTCTACCCCATTCCCATTTCCTCCCCTCCCTCCAGTGGCTTCCCGCAATGCTTCCCCCCCTACCCACATTACTTTACATCATCAATTATATCATTTTCTTATCATTACAATCTTAAGATAACATCATTTGACTTAATATTGCTCTAAACATATTAAGTTTTGTTTCACATCCCAGTTCTTTTCCAAATATATTTTAAAGTCACTCCATTCTTGAAAGAACACATCATCTTCTTTGTTGTTCAACTTTTTCGTAATTTTATCCATTTCTGCCATGAACAGAACTTTTTGTATCCAGTCTTCAATTTCTGGTACTTTTTCTGTTTTCCAAAATTGTGCAAATTGTGCATAAATCATTCTCGCAGTTGTAATTAAGTACCAGAATAAAGTCTTTTTAGTCGTATTGATTTCTTCCATTTTTAATCCCAAAAGCAGAATTTCTGGTGACTTTTTGAAAGAGCATTTCAGTCGGTCACAAATTTTGACTGGTTCATGGTTCACGAAGTGAAGTTCGTGGCAGGTCAACGGGCACAAAGTTTCCACAAAGATTTCACTGTGATCTAGCTTTCACTCTGCTGTCATGGTGTGAACTCTGTATGTACCATGCTGTGTTCTTTGGTACGCCTTTAGATAAGTAGCTGTAGCTGGATAACTTGTAGCAGGGCTTTTTTTTGTAGAAAAAGCCCAGCAGGAACTCATTAGCATAATAGGCCACACCCAACAGCAGGAACTCATTAGCATATTAAGCCACACCTTGACAGCACAGCTCATTGGCGTATTAGGCCACACCCCCATGTTACCAGAAGTGTGCTCATCCAGCCACACCCACCTTTTGCTTCTTATTCTGTTTACTTCATTGTCAAAACCCGGGGCTTTTTTGTAGCAGGAACTGCTTTGCATGTTAGGCCACACACCCCTAATGTAGCCAATCCTAATGAGTTTCTGCTGTTGGGTGTGGCCTATTATGCTAATGAGTTCCTGCTGGGTGTGGCCAACTCAGGAGCCAGCCGGAACTCCGTTCCTGTGCGTTCCTGCCCCAAAATAGCCCTGACTTGTAGTATGTAATGGAAAACACAGTTTTCTCCCTACAGCATTGGGGCCCTCTTAGAAATGTATTATGAGATCCAAGGCTGCATCTTGAAGTTGCATCCATCTTTTCCTTATTCAGAGCTTTCGCGTAACCAATTGACATGACTTTACCTTAACAATTAATTTTTTAAAACTTTTGCACTTCAGTTTTCCCACTTATTTCTATTTGTGCATGTGACTCTATGAATTTGTTTTATTTCAGGCAACGGTGCTAAGCTGGATTCTTTCCTGTTTGCTTCTGTCGGTCTTCCCCTTGATGCCTGTTGTAGGAAGAGATCAAAATATCCCTCTGGTGTAAGAGCGCATACTCACTGTTTTCTTAGTTTTTCCAGTTTCTCTTCACTCAACACACACCGATTTAAATAGAATTTTGTCATTGGGTGGGGATTTCTCTTGGCAGCCTTCTGACACTGCTGTTGCTGTTCAGAATTTAAATAAGGTAACTATGGGGAAATGCATCATTTGTGGAGACTGATTAAATTACCCCTGAATTCTCGAGCAATTCTTTTTTTTTTTTTCACGGAAGCGTTGCGGTCAGAGAGTTGCATTCCCTTTTTGTGCAAAAGGACATCCAAAAGCAGTTGGGCGTGTCACTTCCAACTACTTCAGTTCCTTCCTTGTGTGCCTGCCAGGGCTCTTTTTGTAGCAGGAACTCCTTTGGATATTAGGCCACACCCCCTAATGTAGCCAATCCCCCAAGAGCTTACAGTAGCCCCTGTAAGAAGAGCTCTGTAAGCTCTTGGAGGATTGGCTACGTTAGGGGGGGTGTTATCCTTAGTGTGCAAGAGCAATTTTCAGTGTGTGGGTAGGATTGGAGTCTCAGTCTGCTCTCTTAAACAGGAAAGTAACGTTATTGCTAGAAGCACGTACATGGAAAATAGCTATCATTAGTTAGGAGGAGATACAGATCTAAGGAAAAGACGACACGAAACTTTAGTCTAGCTGAATTAGATTAAGGACAGTTACCTTCGGAGGAGCAAAGCACACCCCAGCCTCCCTGCTGCCCCCTTGACAAAGGAAGACAAGTCCCAAACGATGTTCCCTCTAAGCTGCAGAGCCTTGTGAGCAAAAATGCTACTTTGTGAGCTACTGGCATTAAAGTTGTGAGCAGCCGATTTGGCTACTGCATCAATTAGTTTGCTCTGGAGCCGCCCTTCCTGAGACAAAAAATCTGTGAGCTGGAGGCTAAAAACCTGTGAGCTAGCTCACACTAACTCAGCTTAGAGGGAACACTGGTCCCAAAGGTCACAGCACCTGGGCGAAGTGTTTGAACCCAGGACAAAGGAAGATCCAACCTTTTAAAACTTCTGCCTGCTTGGGTGAAACCCCTTTCCCCCAAATCCAGAGTTAGGAATTCTGCCCCTTGTGGGAGATGAAGAAGAAGAAGAAGAGATTGGATTTATACCCCGCCCTTCACTACCCAGAGGTGTCTCAGAGTGGCTCACAAACTCCCCACAACAGACACCCTGTGAGGTAGGTGGGGCTGAGAGAGCTCTTGACAGAAACTGCTCTTTTTCAAGGACAGCTCTTATCAGAGCTATGGCTTGCCCAAGGCCATCCAGCAGGTGCAAGTGGAGGAGGAGTGGGGAATCAAACCCGGTCCTCCCAGATTAGAGTCCGCGCACTTAACCACTACACCAAACTGGCTCTTAGATACCCTAAGCTCTGCCGATGAGGTCTTTTGGCATATAGGCCGTGGCTGTCTCCCCTCCATCAGGTCTTTATGATGCCCATTCATCTCCTCCTATGGCAGGGAGCAGTGTTCCTTCTAAGCTGAGTTGGTGTGAGCTAACTCACAGGTCTTTTTAGTCTCTGGCTCACACATTTCTGTCTCAGTTCAGGAAGGATGGCTCCAGAGCAAAGTAATGTACGCAGCAGCCAAATTGCTCACTCACAACTTTAATGCCAGTCGCTCGCAAAGTAGAATTGTTGCTCACGAAAGACTCCACTGCTTAGAGGGAGCATCGTCAGGCAGGCCAAACGTGCTCTCCGTCACCCCCCCCCCCTCAGCCCAGTTCCTGTTTCCTCTGACTCTCCTCTCCTGTGGAAATAAACAGTTGCCATGGTTTCAGGGTCCCTAATCATAACAGGGCACACGTATCCCTTGCAGAAGGAAATCCTCCTCGGTTCCAGTCCTGCTTCTGGCTGGAGACCAGAAAAGCTCAGGGGCACCAGTATTTAAAGAGGCTGTGAGTTAAACAGCCTGAGGATGTTTCCCCCTCTCCAGTTCCCTCCGTTAAGCTTTGAAGAGAGAGAGAGCCACTTGTGCAGTTATTGGCAGGTAGAGCTTTTTGCCTGCTGGTCACTGTTTCTTCTCGTGGGGTCCGAGCAGGAAGAGAAGTCTCTGCAGTGATCACACGACACAGGCAGGAAGGGTCTGAGGAGGGCTCTTTTTGCAACAGGAACTCCTTTGCATATTAGGCGACACCCCCCCTACTGTAGCCCATCCTCCAAGAGCTTACAGAGCTCTTCTTGCAGGGGCTACTGTAAGCCCTTGGGGGATTGGCTACATTAGGGGGGTGTCGCCTAATGGTGTGGATATAAGAGAAGGGACAGATCTCAGGATTTGAGCCCCCCATTGTGCTCAGTCCTTGGATGCTTTGGGGGAAAGAATGGGAAGACATTCCCTGGGAATCCCCTCTCTTCTATCCCACGTGATGACGCTGTTCACACATGCATCCCAGTACCGCGTGGGAATGGCTGTGGCGTGCGAAGGGTGCCTAATTTGTGAACTGAAAGGTAAAAAAGAACTAGCTTTTTATAATGGTTCCTTGTTTGGGCAGTTCTTTGCTGCATACAGTGTGGTGTCGTGGTTAAGAGCGACAGACTCTGGTCTGGAGAACCAGGCTCAGTTCCACACTCCTCCAGATGAAGCCAGCTGGGTGACCTTGGATCAGTCACAGCCAGTGTTCCCTCTAAGCTGAGTTAGTGTGAGCTAAGCTCACAGTTTTTTAGCCTCCGGCTCACACATTTTTGTCTCAGCTCAGGAAGGATGGGCTCCAAAGCAAACTGATTTATGCCGTAGCCAAATCGCTCGCTCACAACTTTAATGCCAGGAGCTCACAAAGCAGAATTTTTGCTCACAAGATTCCACAGCTTAGAGGGAACATGGGTCACAGCTCTTTCAGGGCATTCTCCGTGCAAAGTCTAGCTCGCCACCTAGTGGTGCATAACGCAAAAAAGAGTGAGAACTTAAGGCTGCCAGACAATCCTAGGATCTCCTGGCAAATTGCACACAATGCCATACAGTGGCGGCAGCGGTGGTGATTTTGCTGCAGAGGTGAGCAGGCAAGTGACTGTGAGGCTAGTGCTTGAGAGGAAGTGGTGGATTGATAAAGATATTGAACCAGGCTGAAAAGGTAGACATAGCCCAGAATTGTTGACTGCGAACCTCCCCTCCTCCTAAAGCTTAGTTGAATGTTTTATGCATCTTCTTTAATTGTGTGTTAGATTGCTTTATCTTTGTGACGAGCAATCCTAATGCTGTGCGATCTCACTGAGAAGCCTGTCTTCTACAGAACAGCAGCGGGCTTGTCGATCCTCTTGTCTTCATCCTGCCTAGTGGCGTTACTTTGGAAGAGCAAGAAAAAACACGTGCGTGGCAAAGATCTCTACCTATATCTCGCTCAGGTCAGTAACTTCTGCAGTAACAATTATTGATAAGTCACGATGTTTGTTTTCACAGGCGCTGTCTGAAATCAGTCCCGCATGTTTGCCCATCGTGCTCCTTCTAACAAAGGGTTTCCCCACCACTGGCTGTTCTGGGGAATAAGTTATGCTAATGAGCTCCTGTGCCTCTTTTTCTACGAAATGACCCCTGGTGCAGAGGCTCCGAATGTATGAACATGGGAATTCTCCACGTGTGCCGTTACGAATCCCTGGCTGTTGGACTTGTCATCTTGAGCTGGTAGAAAAGAGCAAGAGTCCAGGAGCACCTTAAAGGTGAACAGTATTTGTGGGGGGGGGGGGGAAAAGGGATTTTTCTGGCATTAACGTGTTGAGCGAGCCATTTGGCTGCTGCGTAAATGAGTTTGCTCTGGAGCCATCCTTCCTGAGCTGAGACAACAATGTGTGAGCCGGAGGCTCAAAAACTGTGAGTTGGCTCACACTAACTCAGCTTAGAGGGAACACTGCCCCCACCCCCACAGATATCTTTCCCAGTGTACCTGCTTTGTTGGGGGAGGAAGTTCTGTTGTATAACCATTTGGTGTAGTGGTGTAGAGCCAGTTTGGTGTAGTAGTTAAGTGCTTTTGAGAAGAATAGGGGGGCACGCAAATGGTTTGGTTAGTGGTTAAGTGAGCGGTTTGGTGTAGTGGTTAAGTGAGCGGACTCTAATCTGGGAGAACCGGGTTTGATTCCCCACTCCTCCACTTGCACCTGGCTGGATAACCTTGGGCAAGCCGCAGTTCTGATAAGAGCTGTCCTTGAAAAAGAGCAGTTTCTGTCAGGAGCTTTCTCAGCCCCACCGACCTCACAGGCAGTGTTCCCTCTAAGCTGAGTTAGTGTGAGCTAGCTCGCAGTTTTTTAGCCTCCAGCTCACACACTTTTATTTTAGCTCAGGAAGGATGGCGCCAGAGCAAACTAATTTATGCAGTCACCAAATCGCTCACTCAGAACTTTAATGCCAGTTGCTCACAAAGTAGATTTTTTTGCTCACGGGACTCCACAGCTTAGAGGGAGCATTGCTCACAGGGTGTCTGTTGTGGGGAGGGGAAGGGAAAGGAGTTTGTAAGCCGCTCTGAGTGGGTAGTGAAGGGCGGGGTATAAATCCAATCTCCTCCTCCTCTTCCTCCTCCTCCTCCTCCTCCTCTTCCTCCTCCTCCTCCTCCTTCTTTTATAAGCCAGCCAGTAATGGGAGGTAGTCAAGGAAATGCTCCAGTTTCATGGCAAACGGTTCCACTTTGATGATCTTTCATTGCTTGTAATTCTGAAATCATTACATGATTTGTAGTCTTGGCAACACAGAGTGTGTCTATGCAATTGACTTAAACTGATTTAGTATTTAATTTGCTGTCTAAGAAGCACTGGGGATTGTGTTCCCAACAATCCCTCTGAACTTCAGTTCCCGGAATTCTTGAAACAGGGAGAATGCCAAAAGAACTGGAAAAAAATCTATGTACATTTATAGTGCATAAACATTAGGAACTAAGGATGCCAGCCTCCAGGTGGGACCTGGGGATCCCCTGGAATTACAGTTCATCTCCTGGTTGCAGAGATCAGTTCCCCAGGAGAAAATGGGTGGACTCATTACCAGGGTACCCCACTGACATCTCTGTCCTCCACAGGCTCCATCCCCAAATCTCCAGAGTTTCCCAACCTGGAGCTGACAACCCTACTCCCCCCCCCCCCAGCCCCTGCTGGTGGCCAGGGAAGACCTGGGAACCCCATTAGGAACAATCAGTTGAAGAATTAACTCATTTTAAATCATTCAGAATTGGGCACGTCTACTAACATTACCCTAAAATACACCTCAGTTTAAAGTCATAACGTGTTTGTGTATATATATATGTGTGTGAGAGAGAGAGAGAGAGAGAGAGAACAAAGTACTTTTACAAACGGACAGCAAGCCTTCCAACTTCAAGAGCTCTTGACAAAGTACTTTTACAAACGGACAGCAAGCCTTCCAACTTCAAGAGCTCTTGACAAAGTACTTTTACAAACGGACAGCAAGCCTTCCAACTTCAAGAGCTCTTGACAAAGTACTTTTACAAACGGACAGCAAGCCTTCCAACTTCAAGAGCTCTTGACAAAGTACTTTTACAAACGGACAGCAAGCCTTCCAACTTCAAGAGCTCTTGACAAAGTACTTTTACAAACGGACAGCAAGCCTTCCAACTTCAAGAGCTCTTGACAAAGTACTTTTACAAACGGACAGCAAGCCTTCCAACTTCAAGAGCTCTTGACAAAGTACTTTTACAAACGGACAGCAAGCCTTCCAACTTCAAGAGCTCTTGACAAAGTACTTTTACAAACGGACAGCAAGCCTTCCAACTTCAAGAGCTCTTGACAAAGTACTTTTACAAACGGACAGCAAGCCTTCCAACTTCAAGAGCTCTTGACAAAGTACTTTTACAAACGGACAGCAAGCCTTCCAACTTCAAGAGCTCTTGACAAAGTACTTTTACAAACGGACAGCAAGTCCTTGAAGTTAGGTGGAATTGGAGAGAGTCCGGTGTCAGATATTGTAAGGATGCAAAATTGAACCGTTAACGTTGAGAAAGAATGTGTCGAAACGAGCGGTAAAACTCCGGGGAAGTTCGTCTGTTGAAAAACAGAAAGATTGAAGTTCAACAACAAGAGTCAACTGATTCTTACAATTGTTGTTAATTGCATGCACTTCTTGCAGTATTTGTGTAGTCTGCTACTGTTATTCGGCATCTGAAATCACTCTCCATGATACAATGGCAGATGGACTTCCATTCTAGCTGTATATGAACAAGGGAGCAGTGACTCACAAAAGCTCCTACCCTTGCACAAATGTGGTGAGTCCTTACGGTGCTACTGAACCCTTGCTCTTTTCTTCTGCTACAGACAGACTAACACGGCTACCCATCTTGAGTGACTTGTGTGTACATCACACAACTTTGACCCATTTGCCAATCTTGTGGAATGATTCATACTTGTAAGCAGTGTTCCCTCTAAGCTGAGTTAGTGTGAGCTAGCTCAGTTTTTTAGCCTCTGGCTCACACGTTTTTGTCTTAGCTCAGGGAGGAGGGCTCCGGAGCAAACTAATTTATGCAGTAGCCAAATTACTTGCTCACAACTTTAATGCCAGTAGCTCACAAAGTGGAATTTTTGTTCTCAGGACTCCACAGCTTGGAGGGAGCATTGTTTGTAAGGATTTGATTTTGTTCTGGCAGGCTTAACATTAACTGTTCCTTCCCCGTGCAAGAAGTTTATCTAGAAGTGAACGTTCTCGGCCAAAGGAGCCCCTTTTGAAACGTGTTTCTAGCTGCCACTAGATGTCAGTGTAAATACGGGGTGGATTGAAAAAGTGAGGAACTTGATTAAATTAGAAAGAAGTTTAGCCACTGTAATTTGCCACAGTCTCGCAATTAGTATCTTACTTGCTTTGAAATGCTTTGGATTATCCCCCCCCCTTCCCCGCAGCCCGGCACAAGTTGGCTTCCACCGATTTGGCACAATTGGCTTTGCCATTCACATTACTACTAGGAACGAGAACAATTCAAATGAGGATCACAAAGATTGTAATTGATTTTGTTGTCAATCTGTTCGTTTCCAGTTGAGTCACCTTCAGGTCAAGTCAAAAGGGAATTTGGTGGGTTACAGAACAGTTCACCAACCGTAAATTGAGGGTCATGAACCTCTAGAATTGTGATTAAGTACTAACCTTTTCTGGAAATTTATTTTTACCCTGAGGATTAGTTTCTGCAATCGATCCCCGGTTTTAACTAATAGAATAAGCCGTCTTTGGCCCAGGTCTGCTTTACGCCTGCCTGTATTGACTACTGTACTGAGTACTCAGCAGTGCACCCAAAAATGTTGGGTGTGCCATCGTCTGTGGCTAAATTATCCAGAAACTCTCAGGTGTATAGAGTATGCTTCTCCTGTTCCTTGCACTGAGGAGCCTTGAGAAGTTTGTCAGTTGCCAATAATGGTACATGCGTCCATTTTCCGAAGGGATGAACTAACAGGAGGAGCGCATCCCGTGGTGGATTTCAGATCTGGACAAAAGGGAGAACCAGCCTCTATTATGACTCTCCACTAACCCATTCTGTACAATGGGAAACTTCAGATAAATTATCTGTCTGGCCCATCATCCATTTTCACTCGGTGCCCAGCCAAGTGCCACCAGGGGGCCCACCAGGCAGGACATAAAGGCCAAAACCTGGACTTGCTATTTCCCTTTGGCAACACGGCCTCTGAACATGGAAGTTCCGTGTCAGAGCTGTTGGTGAACCTGTCCTCCATGGATTTATCCAAACCCCCCCCTTTAAAGCCATTTAAGTTAGTGGCCATCAGTGTGCTCTGGGATCGTGAATTCCCAAAGTTAAAACTGCTTGCTGAATGAAGAAGTAATTCCTTTTGTCTGCACTGAATCGACGGCTGATCAGCTTGATTGGGTGCACCCAACCGGTAGTTTCCACAGGGGAGAAAAAGTTCTGTATGCTTTCTGTACGCCGCAGGGGTCATTTCATAGAAAAAGAGGTGCAGGAGCTCATTAGCATAACTCATTTGCATAACTTATTTGCATATGCCACACCTCCTGACCTCACCGATAGTGTGTCAGAAGGCAACACCCACCGCTCAGCCTCCACCGGACTGTTTTGGATTGCTAGCTATTGGAGGGGGGAGGAACGTGCAGATCTGTCTTCGCAGAGGAGGGCGAGCTCCTACCTGAATAAAACTTGGTCTTAAAGGTGCCACTGGACTGTTTTGGGCCAGGGGGGGGGGGGCTCTGCAACTTGTCTGTCTGCTTCATGGTCTGACTGAGAGCTGCTGGGAGCAGGGGGTGGGGCCTGTTGCTTGTGCCCGCCCCCTGGGCTCTTTACTGCCGGAGCTCCGCTCCTGTGCGCTCCTGCAGGAAATTACCCCGGTACTCCGTACGTGATTGCACATCGTCGTCTCCTTTCATCACTCCCTCCCCCTGAGTCCCAGATTCCTTAGCA